GATTCAAATAAGAACAATGAATTCCGTTACGTTTTGTTTCTGTGACCTGAATTATTGAAACAATCTGAACAATCTCGCAAAGGTGATGTATTTACGTGGCAATTGATAAAGAACGAATTTACTTTATTATTTTAAGATTTAACTTTAGATGTTAATTAAGCTTTCTAAGATGAGAAATTTTATTAATATTTTTTTTATCACCATTAGTAAATACAAATCAAAAGGACACACAGCAAACATCCGCTTTGATAGAATCAGCATCAATCAGATCTGACTAATTCTGCGGCAAGGAATGTTCCATATTGAACGTCTGTTTGTTCAGCAGCCACGGTTCAGATTTCTCGGTAGGTCTTACGACCCAAGCATTTACACTGTGAATGACGAAAACCAGACTCGGAGACCAGAGCTAATTCCGAACGTTCGTTGATCAAAACGGTACATTTTTGAAATGTATTAAAAATATACAATATCTATATACATATATACATATATATAAAGTACAGATAAAAATAATGTATTTTTAATTTAAAAGGACAAGGAACAAAAGACCTCATGCTAGGTAGATTGAAATTAAGCTATGTTAATTTCATTTTCGATTTTTCGTTTGTTGAGGCAGAAGATTGAAGGAGGACGTTTACGTTGCTTTTGAGCTGTTGCTTCGAGTTGTTTGTGAATTCCTATTCACCTATATTCGAGAGCTGCAGTTGATTTATTTTTTCCACGAGCCTATAGAGCCAGAGCTATACGACTATAAGGTTTCGTGATAGCATAAGACAAAAATAGCATGTGCTCGGATCGATCGTTGCACTTATCAGTTGGCACAGAACATTGTTTAGAAAGAAGCCGTTAACCCGTCACCTACATTCGGTTTATTATGCATACAAGCATCGTTGTACCTTATCAGTCTTCCGTTCGCGATCTGTCGTCTTTCAATCGTCCGAGCGTCTGCCGCTTTTTAATGATCCAAGAAAACCCAAAACTTTAGGACTTTTTTAATTTATTGTACATGTTATATCGTAACAATTTAAAAAAATTTTCTTTCTCATATCATATCATGCGATAAACATATGCATATCACTGCGGAGTCACGAAAGATTGGATTAAAAAGATACTGGAAGTTTTGTCGTTTAAAAAAAAGATAATAAAGCAACTAATTTAAAATAACTTACTAATATTTTTCATAATATTCTAAAATTCATTATAGATAATCTTTCATAAAGATGTCTTATCAATATCTATTGTGCAAGTATTTAAAAAAATCTATAATACTACATATTGCATATCTCTATTTAGAAAAAATTAGCCAAGGCATTTCTCGGGATTACAAAATCGCTAAAGAAATTATTATCTAAGAAGCTAATAAAAATTTTAGACGATGTCGATGAGGAAACTCAATTAAAACAGGTTCTGTCTTCCCGGAACAAACTATTTATGTCTCTGTTAGTGCGTAAATATTTTCGGGGAAGATTCCAATCGTTCGGTCAGTCATCCGAAGAATTTCCGTCTTGACTAAGATCTCTTTTGAAACTTTTCGGTTTTATGCCGCTTTTGTGATATACACAATCTTCTCCCTCACTAGAATGGATTCTAGAAATGGAAACTTTAAAGTAAAGAGCTCGAAAGAGACGAGCGGAAGAGACGAGGAATGACGATGATAAAAGGAGACAGAAAAGGGCATCTGTAATCTTTCTACTTGATAAAATATTTGAAACGGGAGAAATATATCCCAGCTATCTGCATCGTGCAAAGATACAAACGCGCTCACACTCACATTTATATTGAATACTTACAATAGTATAAACATACTAAGGAAAAAAAAAAAAATGTCTTATAATCATTTAAAAATATTTAGATTTCATATTTTGTTTTAACAGTTCTTTTACAAAAGTTGACTATTCTGATTTATCACTGATTATATCAGTTCAATGTACTTT